GCAAAAACAACAGGAGACCCACCAAACACAACCTTGGAAGAAAAGGAACGGGGGTGCACCATTAGGCTATTCGGGATGAACAGCCTTAAGGAGGCAGCAGTGTGACGTGCTGTGCTATGGAGGACACCCCCCCCGCCAGTGGTGACGTACCGAGTGGAGCCGAAGTGAGCTGAGTCCCAGCACACTGGTCGCTATGCAATGCGAGTAAACAGCAGTTGCTAGGCAAAGCGAGTAAACAGCGATGACGTAACACTGGATGCCGCAGTTGCTATGCAGCCGTAAACAATTCCCAACAGCGTTGCTAGGCTATCAGCAAACACGGCATCAGACAACAGTGGTGCCTATTACGTAACTGTTTTCCCGTTGTCCGGCTGAGGGTTTATAAGGGAACTACACAGCTGCCGAAGACAGTTCTCAAGGCAAGCAGCCTACGAGTTGAGTTGGAATCTAGCCAGCAGTGAGCAGTAAGGAGTGAGTTGAATTGTAATAGTCACCGATTTCAGTTGTAACGAGTGAAACATGATAGCGTGAAGAGATTTGGTTGTAGGGTTTGTAAAGTGTGGAAACCCATAACATTGTTATAATTAATTGTAGCCGATACTTGTAGGTTGTTAAATAAAGCAATTAACAATCTGAACGGCATCTTCAGTAATGAAACACATTACAGTATTCTAAAGTCTGCAATGGAAAAGTCCAGAGTCTCTGGGGCAAAAAAAGGAAAGTGAAAATATACGATAAATGACCATCCTAATTTCCTCTTTCTGTATAAAAGAAATTACCATTGCAAATTTTTCTTGTGAAAGAAATAGTCAAACAAGCATTTTACAATTGAATTCAGGAATGTTCATGGCAATGAATTTGCGCACGCGCGCGCGTGTGTGTGTGTGTGTGTGTGTATAAGGCTTTTGGTTGAGCAAGTGGATGTTGCATCATGACAATGCATCTGCCTACACAGCACTTTCAGTAAGGCATATCTTGACCAAGAATAAAAGTATTAATCTTGGAACATTTTACTCACCAGTGTTGACCTCATATGCCCTTTTTTTATGTTTTTGAAACTAACGTAGCATAGTGGTTGAGTACTGTGCTACAAGCCGGAAGGTCGCGGGTTCAAGTCCCGATGAGGTTATTGGATTTTTTTTCAATTGACCTAATCCTTCCAGCCGCACTATGGCCATGGGGTCGACTCAGTCTCTAACAGAAATGAGTACCAGGAATTAATTAAATAATTTTCCTGGGGGTAAAGCGTGGCTGGCGCCTAAGGCTGACAACCTTATCACCATCTTTGAGCCGATTGTCTAGATAATTTCGGACCCTCAACGTCTTACAGCCCTATGGGCCTTCATGGCCTGTTACAAGGATAGTTTCACTTACTTTTTTTTTACTTTACTTTTACATTCATTCATATTAAAAGCAGAAAGAGCATCAACGTTCTTAGGGATTAAGGCCAAGAATTTACTTACAGCTTACTTAGATACATTTAGTGGGTTAATCAAGAAGGATGCTAAGGAATAACAACATAATTTTCACTTTAAAAAATGACATGAAATTATTTAAACCAATAACAATCTAGATGGTGTTAATTCCGTGATTTCACCACTGAAACCCTGGTAGTTGAGATTTCCAGATGCGAAAACCTGATTACCTTAAGCCTTGAAACTTTCTCATATTTACAAAGACAAAACAACTCTGTCCAGTGTGAAAGAGCACAGCACGCGACAAACACACACACGACGATACCAAGAATCTCCGTCTCAAGATAGACAGGCGGCACAAGTTCACCCCCCATCAAGAAAGACGATAGGAGAAGGGACACGAACCTACTTGGTTTATAAATTTTCACTTAAATAACAAAGTTTTAAAAACTTTAATATACCAAGAAAGCTGCTGTAGTTGTTAAAAAGTTGGATTTTGTATATATTGTGCATTACAAACATTGTATGTATGTATATATATATATATATTAACACTCAGAACACCCATTGTGATGATAGTTTCCAAAAAGTATTGATGTCCCTCTGATGATGGTCTATAGGGACCGAAACATGTAAGGGTGTTAAGTTTTCAAGTAATAAAAACTTCAATAGTCACACTGGACAGAGTTGTTTTGTCTTTGTAATTTGTTAGTGTGACGGACCAGAATGAAACAAATCAAATTTTCTCATATTTCCTTGTTATTTGCGGCTTGAATGCAGATTCTACCAGTAAGTACAGAAAAAATTATATAGAGACTTGATGTCTTCTAGGTCAGTGCAATGAAGAGGGAATAAAGGAGAGTTAACTGTTGTTCACAGCCTTGCTTCTAGTGGAAGTGAGACATAAATTTAATGCTTTGCTAGAAGAGGGTATACAAACTGCAGTGGAACCATGGATGCTTTTGAGTTGGTTGATGGGGAGTAGCTCTGAAAGTTGACTTGCCTATAGTTGGCACCAAAATAATTTGTAGTGATATCCACAAGAATAGTGGAAGTATCGGACCATCTTGTAGCCATTCAGTTAAACAATATAATCCCAAAGAGACTCTCATATAATCATTTTCAGTATGCAAACAGACAAAAAAGGCAAGAGATTTTGTAAATTATAATTATGGAAGATCAATTTATTGTTGTGATTTAATATGAAGAAATATGAATGCCCTCTGAAATTCATACAGGTTATAAACTTTCAGTCATTATTGGATCTGCACCCACACAAACTGTATCTTGTACATTCACACTCTCACACATATAAAATTAGAAGCCATTATAATAATTACATTAAAATATAAAAGCAAGTATGAGAACATGAATACATGTAATTAATGCAAAGTAAGTGGTTTATATTCAACATTATTACCATTTTTAGGCATATTAGCAATTTTTGGGAGTGCATATTCATTTCATTTCTGTATGTACGCATGAAGCAACTTGAACTGCTGAATAGATTTTCATAAAATCTGATACTGGGCAATTTTAATACAATTTTCTGACATTTAAAATATTGGTTAAAGTCTGAGAAAATAATGGGCACTTGATAAGATTTACAGTCATTTCTGATTGCATTTGAAGTGTTACTTGCAAAACATTTATTGTAGTGAAAGATGTTTGGAAAATAAAATATATGTTATGCCCAAAACACTTCTCTGTAAGCCTTGAGCTTTTTGTAATAAATAAACAAAAGGAGCATTATGCATACTTTTCCTGTCTTTTGTATTCAACTTTCAACAGTGGTTTTACAAACACACATGAAGTCTACCAAACAGTCTGCAGTGGTTTTCTCAAATGAAGTTTTCTTCCACCTGAATTTCTAGGTTCACATGTATATATTCAGTTCAGTTATTCAATATAGAGGAGGTGGGTTTCCCCATGCACCGCGACTAATAGTCTATTGTATGTCCCCCCTTTAATTTCTACTGTCTCCATACCCTACCGATACTGGTGCCAGCGAGGTAGCCCTCTACTGGCAGTGGTACATGATAACTTCCCCTTTCTGCCAGCGAGGTCGGCCCTCTACTGGCATTGGTACCCGATAACTTCCCCATCTACCGGAGGCATTGAAAACTACTTGTGTAGGAAACATTTTTGCCTAATTTTGCTCAGAGGTCTCCCAGAGACATGAGGATCTTTTATGTGCCATAAATCTACGACACGGGACCCACAGCTTAAAGTCCTTCCTGGAGGACTTGTTCCCTGAATTTTTCCGCCCTTAAAAATTCCACGACCTCCGCCGGGTTTGAACCCATGTACCTTGAGTCATGAGGTGGGAACGTTACCCCTAGACTACAGAGGCCGCTAACACATGTATATAAGTATATATTTATATTACTTTATGAACAAAGTATCTTATTCTCGGTCCTAATAAATCATTCCACATGAAAACAAATGCTCCATTTGTTTCAGTAAGAGACCTTTGTTAAAATACCAAGGATATCTTTATTTATTTATAGTTCTCATAATTTCAGTCCCTATGTGTTTGTTGTGTAAAAATTAGCACAACAAATTTAAAATACATTTATCAGTGTTCTTGCATGAAGTAGTTTTATGTTTTTTAAGTGAGAGCTTCTAGAAATCTAGAGGCAGTAACACAGTGAATGCTAAAACTGTTATTTTATGTATACATTTCCCAATCTCTTTAAGTCAGCATGTAGACTGGTGTAAATTTGTATAATTCTAATAAAATTTTTACATGCTTTTTCCAAATTTAACATTTCACTGTTCAGATTAGCAGAAGTCCTTCAATTTGTAATTATTCTTAATTATAAGAATAAATTGTGCCAAAGAAGAAATTTGAAGGAAAATATGATGAATTAGTTATGGTAGCTGTTCCACAAATTTAAAATCTCATTAATATTTTATATGTTGACCAGTAATATGTTCTTATAAATTCATTTCTCTATACTTATGTAATAAAATCTTAATGTGGAATTATTTCACATTTGCATTTTATTAATTAAATTTGAATAAGGGAAAAGTCATTTAATTTAAAATGTTTTACATATTTTAAGGTTACCGTTAACTACGTGGAAAATTGATCTTCTGTTGAACAGTATGGTGTTTAATTAAACTCAGTTAATAGAATTGTGGTCACTAGAAAGCAGGTATATTCCGATATTAATGTGAAAAGCCTTGGTTCCAGCCTCATGAAAGTTGTAGAAATTCAAGAAATTATAACAAATGATGCAGTAATCTGATAGCTTCAATAAAAGGGTTCCTCAGCTCATTACTGGGATGTAATGAATAAAATATTGTTTCAAGTGTGATGTATGTTGTAGATACATACTGTAAAACTCTCAGGTTTAAAGCAGCTTACATACAAGAAGAACATCCCTGGACATACATGATTTCCATTCTGTTTCCCTCTTGATTGTATTGATCTGGTAGGGGTTGGGAACCAGTATAATTCTTTTTATACCCACTGATGCTTTTCTTGAATTGAAACTGAGCATCTTGAGCATAGAGTGGTGGCTACGTCCTATCCCAAACGCGACAGGTTTGATGGTGGCACTCTTGACTCTGGCACAGGTGCATGAGGCAGATGCGTGCCTGGTGCTGGCCAATAAGTACTGCCAAGACCCTGACGCTGAGGACGCAGCCAACATTATGAGGGTCATCTCTATCAAGAATTACTCGGACGACATTCGAGTCATCATCCAGCTAATGCAGTATCATAACAAGGTATGTCATGAGATTGTCACTTGTATCCCATTTTCAGAATGCAGAAAATTAATTTTATTGTTAATATATTTTTGTTAATTCATCTTTTTTAGACTTTTGTGTAAAATTTATTTGCTTTTATATGATTTTTTAACTTTCTTTTATGGATGAGCATATACTATTTGATTCAGTGCAAACCTATTTTTAAAAGCTTTTATATTTACGTTCAAGTCCTGATGAGGTCACTGGATTTTTTCAATTGACCTAATCCTTCCAGCCGCACTATGGCCCTGGGGTTGACTCAGTCTCTAACAGAAATGAGTACCAGGAATTAATTAAATAATTTTCGTGGGGAGTATAGCGAGGCCGGCACGTAAGGCTGACAACCTTACCGCCATCTGTGAGCCGATTGTCTAGATAATGTGTGACCCTCAATGTCTCACAACCCTATGGGCCTTCACGGCCTGTTACAGGGATAGCTTTACTTTACTTTACTTTACTTTTTACATAATAAGCTTTATTGAGAATCAAAGTTACAGTTTGTGGCAAGTTCTTTCTCCTCCTTATAAATCTAATTTTTTTACAATATGATTTCCATTCATTTATGCTGTTAAAAAGGCATTTAAGAAGCAAGAAGTTTAGGTTTGACTGAGGTGGTAAAAAATTCTCCGCGGGAGTTGTCACATCAACTGAAATATTTATTTTGAATAGCAATAAAAAAATCTTCAGAATGTTGTAACAAGTGAGTCTTGAAGGAGGAAGAGTATTTTGAAAAGGACATGTAATATTTTGCTGTGTTAATTGTGGAATATGTAAAAAAAAAAGCTTAAGTTTGGGTCAGATTTGAACACCTATCATGCACAAACAGCCAAAAATTTGCCACCTTGAGAGATTGTAGGTTAATGTTTATTCTACTGAACATTTAGATTTCCTTTCCTGTCAGTTTTACTTTGCATTCTTGATTGATTTCATATCCTGTTGAGCTTTAAATCAACATGCTGAGTTATATCTGACTGGTACATAATATCTGTGGCCAATACAATTTGAGAATGGAAGTTACTGATACTGTTTACAGGCCTACCTTCTGAATATCCCATCTTGGGACTGGAAACAGGGAGATGATGTGATATGTCTGGCAGAGTTGAAGCTGGGTTTTATCGCACAGAGCTGTCTAGCACCAGGTTTTTCTACCATGATGGCAAACCTGTTTGCCATGCGTTCCTTCAAAACGGTAAGCTTGTTAAATCACTAGCAAAGAAATATAAAATATGGATTTCATGTTACTATGTTACTTATGGTTTTCATATTCAATATGGTAAGCTTTTTGAGTCACTAGCAAATAAATGTAAGATAAGGTCTCTTGTGAATACATTACTTATGGTATTTATATTCATTTATATTCTTTCTTTGCTACTAGCTGCAGACACCTTTGGCTGGATGACCTGCAACTCTGATGCAGCGGCTATAATTCTTTTGTCATTTTTCCTTTATTTTTATACTGTCTGGATTTGTTATTCCATTCTTTTAATTATCATGTGTAAACACCTGTGCAATGTAAACTGTTTTGTATAGAGTAGGATCCATGATGGCGTAGTAGCCTGGAGGAATTAATTGCAGAATTCTGAGTCCATTCCATTTATGCAAAAAGAACAGAACAGCATATGTAATTTAGATTAAACTTTTCTTTGTTTCCCCAAATTCCCTGTTATAATCAGTTATAAGGATTATTTTGTAGGATTCTTAAGCCATTATTTGTCTGTGTGAGTCACCAGCCCATGGCAGAATCACCCCAGGATCTCTGGAGAATAATGGTAAATAGGCAAGCAGACAGTTTAACAGTTTTTGTTGGGAAAGTGTTTAAATTTTATTTTCAAAATAGAGTCCAAAATTTTGTTAGCATAGATGCTTATTAGTATTAATAGGTGGAAGAACATAGTATATTTTTCATACTTTTGTATATAAAGAAACTAAGGCCTATGCAGATTTCAAGCTTTTTATATTGTTAGAAGTAAACTTGATGAAAACTTCCAGATCTTCATCACATTTTCACAGTTAATATCATGAGTCAGTCAGATTGAATTGAACACTTACTTTGAACATGTTAATTGATTTTATTCTTTTGTGTGAGGGTTGAGATAGCTGATTCACAGGCCATTTCATGACTGTACGAGGGGCAGAAATTATTGTAGAAGTAGTCCTAAGTATCATCATGTTGGCTCCATTCTGTTTTGCTTTGTCTTTATCTGTGTGATTTATTTTGCAGTGCTGTCAGTGTCTAGACTTATAGTTTCAGACCTGTGTCTGTGAAGGTTATAATGCAAGAACGCTGAAAACAGCAATTTTTTTCAGACAGAATGAACTGAACATCATTCCAGAGGTTTTTTTTAGTGGAACAAGAAGAATGAAAATGACAATTTTTCTCTATTTTGTAATAAATTATTTTACAGTGCATTAATCCTTGAGATCAATAAGGAATGTAGCATATGTGGTAGATATAAGACATACATGCAAACAGAAGTCATTATATTAATCTTCATAAAACTGCCTAAATTATGACCATTTCTGCACTTAGTACAGCATACAACCGTTCTCATTGCAGACAAAATTGAGGCACGTGATATTGCTAATTTGCTGAAATGGTCTTATCTTTTACCTTTCTGAAAGCCATAATTTGTGTTGTATAGTGTTCATTTTTAGATGTACATATCTTCCTATTACATTGTGCCTGAAAGAAATTTTCAAGTTTCATGTGTACTAGCAGTCATAGCTGTGATTCTAGAACTATACATGCTACATAACTTGGTGTGTTTGGATTATTTTGTGAATATTGTAATATTCTAAATGCAAACCAGAGCCAGTATAAGACAGCTGGTATAGCGACTGGCTATGGGCTGGATAACTGAGTGTTTGGAGTTCGAGTCCTGGTAGGGTCAAGAATTTTCTCTTCTCCACATTGTCCAGACTGGCTCTGGGGCCCACCAAGCCTCTTAAACAATGAGTACTTGGGCTATTTCCCTGGGGGTAAAGTGGCTGGGGCATGAAGCTGATGGCTTATACCCAAGTAGTACAGAGGTCAAGAAAATGTGTATCTATATAGCCATTCCCCCATATGTCTTCATGCATAGTGCTTAATTAGTCAAGCACAGGGACAGCTTTACCTTTACACCTTTACCTTCTATTTGCAAACCAGACAAATGAAAATGCAGCATCTTATATAATGAGAAATTTAAACAATATGTCACAAGGAACAAAAAATACACGTTGTAGAAATTATGTTTCTCATTAAGTTATATAAAAATATCTGAAAGAATTTGTATTTTGCCAGTACATGCTCTAACCTCCAGACACATGAAGTTATATACTAGGTGGTTCAAATATGACTGGGACTGATAAAAAAAAAAAAACTTAATTGCCAAACACTTACTTGCACATGTCAGTCTTCAATGTACTCCCCTCCAGAGTCAACACATTTTTCCAACTTTCTGGAAGCATCCTGATGCCCCCCCCCCCAAAAGACTTGTGGTTGGCGGCGTATCCACTCCCGAACAGTCTGAATGACGGTGTCGTCCACAAACCACATGCCTTGCAAGTCTGATTTGAGCCTTCCAAACAGGTAGAAATCACTTGGGGCCAAATCGGGACTGTACGGTGGATGTGTCAGAAGGTTCCATTTCAATTTCCGAAGGGTTTCCATTGTTGTTTTGGCTGTATGGGAGCGTGCATTGTCTCGAAGGAAGGCTACCTGCTTTCCACCTGTCTTCCGCTTGGATTGGATCTTACTCCAAGTTCCTTGATAGTGATGAGCCTCTTCTCACGAATAAGCACGTCTGCACGATCAATGTTCGGCTCGGTGATGGATGTTCGCGGCCAATGATCATGTGGTTCATTCTCCATGCGCTCTCTGCCCTCTCTGAAGCACTCACACCACTCAAACACACGGGTCCATGAGAGACACTCTTCCCCACGCTGTTGTTGTAGTCTGTGGTGAATTTCGTGGACTGGACGTTTTCTCCAATGAGGAATTTGATCACAATGCATTGGTCCACGCTCCGCGGTACCTTCAATTCTCTCATCACTCTAGCAACTTCCAGACAGGAACTAACAGGTTCTAACCCTAACAGGAGGGAGGGTGGAGGTTGTGGCTTCAATCTCTCAAGGTCGCACAGCTGCTGTGGAGTGCGGCTTGTTTACAAAAAAATCAGTCCCGGTCATATTTGAACCACCTTGTATGCCATAACTGAACTGAAATATATTTACCCACAGGGGTTGTTGGTAGCATAGTACTGTATTTAGTGTGTTTATATGCCTTTCCTGGCATATGATGATGATGATGATGATGATGATGATGATGATGATACAGTCACCAGATATGCAGTCCTGGCAGAATGACTATTTACGCGGGACGGGGATGGAAATGTACACGGAAACTCTCAGCCCCACGTTTATAGGCATGCCGTTTGCACAGGCCACAGAGTAAGTGTGAAGATTATCACCACCAGCTGTATCCAGTGTTATCAGCAGGAGCACCATACTTATTAATCCTCTTCAAGTGCCATTGAGTTGGTAATGCATATAACATAGGCAGTGTGTTATGTAATGTGACATTAAGATTTGCAGGAATTTATTTGGCAAGCTCATAAAATTCAGTGTGAGAGATAAGAAAGTAGTACATCCATAGTTAACACAGTACTGAGACTTCACAAGGAATGCATGTGGTAAAAGGAACAAAATAGTAATTCAGATGATATGACCCTTTGGTAAGAAATTAATAGGAAATATCTTCTAGTGCTTGTCTCTAAATATGTGGGTCTCTGATCTGTTAAATAAGCTCATTCTTCCTTTAATTTATAATACTTTTTGTAATTATCAGAAATCTGTTTTGATGATAAAGAAATGATTACATGATGGTATTATTTACATGCAGCCTGTGTTGTCTGCTGAACCACAACTTGATACTTTCCAGTTTCTCTGTGTGTATGTTTGCCTGTATGCCTGTCCATCTTTCTTTCTGTATCTTGTTTTCCTTGGAAATCTTCAGCTTCATATACTGTTTGCTGATCTGTGACCAGTTCCAGATTGATTCATCACACCTGACTGTGAGCTTCCCCAGACCCAATGTTTTGTGCCCTGATGTATGCTAGCCTGGTCCTATCCCCTGGGGACATATGTCACCCTTCCCAATGTTGGTTTTTTCAGTCCCCAGACACTCAGGCCTGGCAGAACGATTACCTCCAAGGAACGGGCTGTGAGATGTATACAGAAACTTTGTCCCCCTCTTTCACTGGGATGACATTTCCACAAGCCAGCGAGTAAGTTGCCAGCTACTGGCAATTCAAGTATTCCCTAAAAATTATCCGAGACTAATGTATTATTTCGGTTAGTTGAATATAGTAGATTTTACTCATACTCTTCTTAGTTATTCCCCTTAAAAGTACAAATAGTGTGAGGTCAGGTAGATTTATGTTGAAGGGGAATCACATGGTGAGTAGTTCATTATTTATAATACTTGGATTGTTGTTGGGTGGGGGTTTATATTTATTGTAGTATGTGTATCTTGTGCATCACAGTTATAAAACCACACAGTTGTGCTGCCATAATTTTTATTTATATAAAAAACTAGTTCTGTTTTCCAAAATTATGCATGATTAGTTTCTGAAAGTATTGTGAACTGAAACATCCAGCTAAGTGCACAGATTAGCTTGTTTGAAAGAATGGTAGATGGAATAGGATGCATATTACTACTACTATAATTATGTATATAATGTAAGAGCACAAATTATAGTAGTTTTTTTATTGAATACTACTATATATCGCATAAATTTGTATTTTTCTGTTTGTACGACAAAAATGTATTTCTGTGCACTTTATTATTACCATAAAGACTTTAAAATTATGTCTGGAATTAGATGCATTAAGTCTGGCTGTAATAGAACTTACTTCATGCTATATGCACTTGAAGGGCTAACCTTGTTACTGACACTAGGTTTGAATGACTTTGAATTGTAACACAAGTCAATAACATGATAGCTTGGAATTTTTTTTGTTTTGTTTTTTGTTTTGAGTGCCAGTTTGTGCCACAACAGTAAAATGTGAGTCCCTTCCATTCCTTGTGTTTCTGCTTGAACTGCCACAAGCCTAGATATGTAGCTGGCTCAGAAATATGGAGTGTATGCTAGTGCCCCTTGCATGACCCAAACACTCCCAGTAATCCACCCCATTTTAGTGCCAAAAGTAATAAGAACCAGGAAATGACAGATTCGTGTTTCATTTGGGGGAGTGTGAGAGGATGAGACTCAGTGTAAGTTTTATTCCCACACATGCATGCACATGCACACTTACACAAGATCTTCAATGAGGAAAAGCAAAGATAATGTGATATCAGTAACTTCACTGATATAATTAACACACTCCAAGCAAGTATATTTGGCTTTGTGAGTTTGCTGCTGGTGACACTCACTGTCTTAAATCATATTAAGGGCGTTCCTTATATAATGCCTCCTATTTTTTTTTTAAAGAAAACTACAACAGATACAGAAATCATAATAACGCAGTTAATTAGAGCAAGATTTCAGCTACTAACAGGTATTTTTCTACATAATCACCACCATTCGTTATGCACTTTTGCCATCGATGAACAAGAGCCTGTATGCCGTGCGCGTAAAAGTCTGCGCCAGCAGAGGCTAGCCACTTTCTTACAGCTGCAATGACAGCATCGTTGTCTGCAAAATGTTGTCCACATACTTCGTCTTTCATAGGCCCAAAGAGATGGAAGTCTGAAGGTGCTAAATCGGGGCTATAAGGTGGATGTGGTAGGACAGTCCAGCCAAACTTTGCAATGTGTGCGGTGGTCACCAAACTGGTATGGGGTCTAGCGCTATCATGTTGCAAGTGAAAGGTTGTCTGCTTCTCTGGCCTGACTCTGGAAATACGGGCTTTCAGCTTAGTCAGTGTCATCTTGTAGCGTTCAGAATTGACATTCCCTGGTCGTTATCTGCTGATCTGTTCGGATGAGGCGCTGTTCATTGTGAGGAGTGGCAGCTGAGCAGGGACGCCCATGGCGTGGCTTGTCGTGCACTTCACTTTTGCCACTGTTGAAACGCACTACCCACCGAATCACTGTGCTGACATCCACTGTATTGTCTCCGTACACCTTTAGCAAGTGTTGATGGATGTCAATGGGTACAATTTGTTCGGCAGTGAGAAATTCAATAACACATTTCTCTTTCATACGCACTTCTATGTCAGACGCCATTTTGGTAGACTGCTCTGCTGTGGCTATCTGTCGCACGACAACCAAATTAACAGTACATTGGCGGGAAGGTTCAACCTTTACTACAACACCACCAACATCCAGCTCAGATGTTACATATTAACAGAAAAAAATAGGAGGCATTATATACGGAACGCACCACATAGGTTCTTATAAAATTTAGTATCCTACAATCACCTGGATACCTGAAATACGATTCAAATAGTTTTATGAACTATAAGTAACTAATTAGGTAACTAACAGACTAACTAACTTTACGGAGTTGAGCCATATTCACATATATGTGTTTGTGTGTGTGAATAAATTAGTAATGACAAAATAGATTGAACATTTTCTTATTGGGCTTTCCAGGTAATTAAAATTTCACTTGGGTGTGATTAATGTCATTTCAAATTAAGTTAATGTGAGATTAGTTGTTACCATAGCAATGAAGATTCAGATTATGATCTTCTAGGTTATGACATTTTGTAGCCTTATAGGTATTTAGTAGTGTTGTGTAGGATCATGTTCCCCCTCTCTTCATAGTATACTCTGAAGATGGATATATCAAGTTCCTTTGAAATGTTTTTAACTGTATTCCAGATTACAGAGAATCTAAACCCAGAGGACCACAACTTAAATTATTTTGGATTCCAGTATCATGTATTACAGGGGAAGGAAATTGACTTCGATTATATGTAGGTAAGTCAATAAGTAAGTTACAAATGGATATAGAACTTAAACAAATAAGAGTTATGGTTTGAAAAATGCTTTATTTCTCAACGTAATTTCCCTGTACATTGAGGCACTTGTCCCATCATTTCACAAGCCCCTGAAAACCAGCAGCATAAAATTCTTTGGGCTGCTGTCAGAACCAGGCAGTGACTGGGATCATGAAGGCATTCTGCTCACCGCATTCCAGCCTCAAGGACAAACCGTAAATTCCAACTCCTACTGTAACATCCTCAGGAAACTTGTGTAAGGCTATTCAATGGAAGCGACCAGGACTCCTCACCAAAGGTGTGTTGCTCTTGCATGACAATGCCCGTCCCCATACTGCCAACAAGACAAATGAGATGCTGTTAAATTTCAAGTGGGAAGTCCTCGAGCATCCTCCTTATAGCCCCGACCTTGCTTCAAGCAACTTCCAGTTGTTCAGCCCTCTTAAACATCATCTTTTGGCTGAACATTTTCCCGACGATGAAGCTGTAGAAAGGGAAGTCACCACCTATTTCTGACAGCCACCCAAAGAATTTTATGCTGCTGGTTTTCAGAGGCTTCTGAAATGATGGGACAAGTGCCTCAGTGTACAGGGAGATTATGTTGAGAAATAAAGCATTTTTCAAATTAGTACTCATATTTGTTTAAGTTCTATATCCATTTGTAACTACTTATTGAAGCGGCCTCCGTAGTCTAGGGGTAACGTTCCCACCTCACGACTCAAGGTACACGGGTTCAAACCCGGCGGAGGTCGTGGAATTTTTAAGGGCGGAAAAATTCAGGGAACAAGTCCTCTGGGAGGGACTTTAAGCCGTGGGTCCCGTGTTGTAGATTTATGGCACGTAAAAGAACCTCATATCTCTAGGAGACCTCTGAGCTAAATTAGGCAAATTTTCCTGCCCAAGTAGTTTCCAATGCCTCCGGTAGATGGGGAAAGTATTAGGTACCACTGCCAGATGAGGACCGACCTTGCTGACAGAAAGGGACTAATTATCAGATACCGCTGCCAGCAGAGGGCCGACCTTGCTGGCAGAAAGGGGCTGATAATGGGCACCAGTACTGGTAGGGTATGGAGACAGTAGAAATTAATGGGGGATGCACAGTGGACCAATAACTGGTCTAAGTGCTTGGGGAAACCCACCTCCTCCAACAATGAATGAACTACTTATTGACCTACCAACGTATTATGCACCTGGGCAGTAATTCAGACTTTTGATTTTTAAAATGGCTTTGACTCCTCTGTGGCATTTTCAGATATTGCCGTGGAGAACAGTGTTGTCTGAATCTCTTATCAAAATTTAATTTACACTGTCATCTTATACTGGTGAATTAGAATTTCTTCAAAATTAACTTCATATTCTTTAACAGTTTTTTAAACATGGGGACACGAGTAATTTCCACTTCAAATCCTAAAAAATAATTCTTTCACTTGTTTAGTATGTGACAAAGTTTGAGACAGTTAATAATGTTAGCATGTAGATATTTTCTTTTTTATGAAGTTTCATTGTAAATAGTGAAACAAGTGTAAATTTAGACCCCTCTCACTTTAAAACATGGCTGCATTACCAGTTCTGGGCTAATCCCATTTTACCCTTTGTTTTAGATTGATCTGTCCGCGAATATTTACTTCCACTGGCAAGTTGACTGAAAATGGCATGACTGTAGAGTCATTATTTTAGTTCACTTTGCAATTGCAGTGCATAGGGTGCTCAGGGTCAAAATGCCTTGGCCATCATATGACTTTTCTTTATTAATAGTTTTATTCGCATGTATCACACAAAAATCATGTTAGAATCATTGTGGAAAATACTTCAGAACTAGGGTTTGTTAGAATTTGTACAATATGAAATGATTATGATTAATTTTAGCAAGTTCTTTGCATGATGATATAATCTTAGGTGAGAAAAAGTCCAAAATGAATAAAGTGATTTAGAAAGATGAGTCATGCACATTTAAGACCTTAACAGAAAAGTTTTATTGTGGGATCACATTTTGTATAATGAATGTTGTTTTCTTATGGATACTTAGTAATTGTAATTGTTTCTTACCAATATTGATAATAGGAGGTAATGGAATGCAAAAGAAAGCTTTTCTCTTGGGTTTTAGAAGAATACATGTGAAAAATTCTAACTTCATTCGACAATAATGTCCATAAATTATTATGTTTATTCAGTAAGATAATAGCTCATAACTTATTATAGAAGTACTACCCCAGTTCTATTTATTTAACTTGAACAAATCATAAGCATACTGTTGTAACAGTCTGAGTGGGATATAGATACTGACCATTTATATTTTCTGTCTTGTCTGAGTACATTTATTACATAAAGATTCCCTGTATTTATGTTCAGTCATGGAGGCCTTTCTTACCTCCACTGACTTTTCAGTTTATCAGCCGTATTATACTGAATTTGTTTTTAGTGGCGATCTCTGAACCTCTCTTTCTTGCACCCCCATCTGAGAATGTGTTTGTAGTTTGAGTCTGATTCTTGAATTCACTTGTGTTTATTTCTGAGCTCTCTCTATTTTCAATTGAAACATCTAATACAGAGAACAACACAATGAACATCAAGCAAACAATACCTTGCCATCTTGGTTGAACCTAAAGATAACAGTAGAAACTAACTACTGAATGAATTTAGGATGTTCTAAAGATTTCTGAGATTGGTTGATTTGTTGTGATGTAGTTATATTGAGCATTATCCATTCTTTGGGATAGTGTAGTGGGTAAAGTGACTGGCTATGGGTTGGGCGGTCAAGGGGTTGAAGTTCGAGTCCCAATAGGGTCAAGAATTTTTTCTTCTCCACGTCATCCAGACCGACTCTGGGGCCCACTCAGACTCGGGTACCAGGGACTCTTTTCCCGGGGGTAAAGGCGGCCGGGGCGTGAATCTGACCACTCACCTACAACTAGTGCCAAGATCAAGAAAACTTGGATCTATACATGCACTCTCCCATGTGTCTGGGGCATAGTGCTTAATTAGTTAAGCAGAGGGCACAGGGATAACTTCCACTCTTTACCTCTTATTGTCCACTGTTCAAGGTTTATTTTTTTCAACATTTGAGGAATTTGGTATATGCTCACCTTAAGGCGGCAGTTTGTCTTTATATGGATTTTTTAAATAATCTGTTTTTTAAATTTCTTACATGAATAACCTCGTTTTAATGCCTTTATGATCTGGTAGTTAGCATCTTATGAGTAAAATGTAAATGAATAAGAAAAAAGTGCTAAAAACACTTGCCACTGGCATGATTTTAATATCGCTCACATTGCTTCTAGACTGGTTTACTTGACAATGTTGTCAGCATTTCAGACTATATAGCTACTAGCAGATGTCTTTGTAGCATGTCACTATATTAAATTCATGGGTCATGTAGTACTGATTTATCATCATCATGCTAAATTAATTCATGTAGTCATATATTATTATATTTCACTTCCCTAAAAATACAACAAACATGCATTTTACAGAGTTTTATCTTAGAAAACAAGTGTAGAATCCTAAATTTAGCAGTGCTAGAGTTGTTCCCACCTCACAGTTTGAGATGTATGCCATATTGGTATTGCTAATGACAGGGACTGGAAAAGTACCAATGAAAATATCCTAAACCTTAATCTAACGAAAGTTATGACAAATGAATATATTTCAGTTTAGGCAATACCATATACTCTTAAAAACTGAAACAGCTAAAACTTTGGAGTAGAACTGTAAATGGTGTATGTCAGGAAACATTTTAGCTTGCCATGCGATGTTTGTTTGTAAATGAAGATTACATGTTAAAGTGGAATTCTTCATGTGTTGTTGTAACATTGACAGATTTATTTCCAGAATTTACAAATATTTATTTTTAAATTTGGGTTTTGATTGACCAGTAATATATATGAAAATATGGGCAATGTAATTAATAAAATTATGTACAGGATAGATCATATGTATGTACACTGTATTTAAAATAAGTGTGCAGGGTAGGCTCACAAAGATAACCTGGAGATACTGGATTAAAAAAAACGGGATTTTGGTACTTTCATCTCAGTTATTTTAGTCTTTATAGTGCATATATAACATTGATTAGGTGGACAGAAAGTTTCACATAAGGTCTTTCTCAACAGAAATTGGAATAATTATGTTTCCTTGGGTTTCAATGTGTTGTTCTTGTAGTAAGTTTGTGTATTTGTATGTTTTAAATAGTATTATTGCTTTCACTAATAAATAAAGTTTGGCTGTACTGTGCATGTAATGATGTAACATTAGTAAAGCAAGGCCCTGAATGTTTGCATCTGTGAATTTGGTCCTGGCTATTAACATTGTTATAACTTAAAGGTTTTGAGATTTTCAGGGTGATGGTCTTGTACATTATGACATTAAGTTGTAGATTGACAGGTGGATACCAATATTTCAGAGGAACAAATTGTCTCTCTCTTTAGTTCTGAAGTGACTGAAGTTGAGAAATTAGCATGTTATATCCTAGATCTTAATTAGTCATGTCAGTCTACTTCATGATTTTATTTTATGCCACTTGTATCACTACTTTCCCAACTGTACTCACTTCAAACTTGAAGGTGGAGGTCACGCAAACACTGGTACCTGCTTATCAGCCTATAGTACAGTGTCATTACCCAGAAGACCACAATATGAATTATCATAATTTATTGTCTAGTAATTTAAATTCAGCTGCTTAATTTCCAAGAATAGGAAATTTTGTCTGGAAAGTAGGTTTACAGCTTACTTTTGACTAACCTGTCTTATGTTTAGGAATTATGACATAATTAAATTGTGACCCATGATAGGCCAGCCACTGAAGTGATGGCTGGGCTTAATTTTCTGGATAGGATGTTGGATTTTTCTTTTCTTCACTACATTTACAATAACTGAGCCCGTGCAACCATCTGAAAATTAAGAACCAGGTGTACTTTCCTTCACAGTACAATGAGCAGAGCATAAATGTAGTCAGTAGCACAGTCACATGTTTGAGATTAAGAATTTATGGATCTTTAACTCCATACTGTACGTACTTTTATGATTTGCATTTTAGGGGTTTTATTAGGAGAAGGAAATTCATTTCTTTTCTTATTACTCTACTAACTTGCTCGGTCAGTTTTAGTATCCAGTGAATGATAATATCAGAAAATTGTATCAAACAAGACAATGTGCTCTGGTTTATAATAGTATGTCCTCTGTAGTGTACATTTAAATGCATAAATTGCTAGGTATTGATAAAATTTACTCAGAAATATTGTTCTTAATAACTGCTTCTTAATATGTTACATGTCCTGTAATTGTATTATTTATACTGAGTTAGATATGGCAAAGAGTGAAAGATCATTCTGACAAAATTCTGTTACATTTACCAAAATTAGGTAATATTAAATACATCAACATTACCTTGTGCAATTTTGACTGAAAGGAGTTTTATTGGGTTTTCATCAACAAAATACTGGTACATAAATTTAAAGAAAAATTTCTTGGTATGAATGCATTGAATTGATTTCAGTTTTAATAATAATTTTGTATACAATTTTCTACAGTAATTCACAAATGCATCAGCTCTGATATATATATATAGTGAGTGCATCCACATCTTTGGTGAAATGTGCAATGAAGGAATGTGTATTCAGGACATACTCTGATGAGATTTTCATATAAAATGTAGCAGTAATTTTTATTAGATTTTAGTACTCCTGCAATATGAATGTTATATGTGACAAATCATTTTGAAACATAAATACCTTAAATAAGTGAAAAATCTATTAAATATTTATCATTGGTATAGATAACATTATAAGCATGATTTCAATTTATGAGGTTTTTATGTAATTGATAAGACATATTTACACAAAGATGACATTTGGATGAAGAGAAAGGCAGGGATCTGTATTGTGTATGCCAACAGGTTATGCTTCACAAAACTGAAATTGCTGCTTCTGGCCATCGAGATCAAAGGTGAGGACGGTAGTGATAGTAAGATCTCCATCAATCCACGAGGTGCCAAGATACAAGCTAACACACAGGGATTCTTCATAGCACAGTCAGCTGATGAGGTCAAGAGGTACATGTTGCATCATCCTCATTTCAGATTACTTACTTACTTACTCATGGAGCTGAGCCCTTCTTGAGGAGCTGCCAATTCTGCAGCTACTCAAGAATTTCCCAGCATTTTATGGAACCCGAAGGTTCATCACCGTGTTCACAAGAGCCCTCCACTGGTCCCTATCCTGAGCCAGATTTATCCAATCCATACCATCCCATCCTATCTCTCTAAGATCCATTCTAATACCTCATTTCGGATTACCATACTTAAAAGGTTTTGTTTTGTGTGTGTGTGACTATGGGTAGGTGGGTATGGTATGTGGGATTCATTTGGAAGTACAGTGGATGCCACTTGTTGTCATCACTTTGGGGCTCAGGTTAGTTGATGATGACAATAACCAATGAAAGAATGCACCTGGTCAGCATTTTCTACTGATGCAAAGTGGAAATGTATACATAAAAATGGAAGTGGACAGAAAGAAAACTTTAAAAATCAAGCAACGTAAAATATTTTAAGTTAACTGTCCACTTTTTATTCAAGAATGTCACAGTAAATATGAAACTGTCATAATGTTTCTGGAAATCCATACACACCATTAAAAAATATAGAAATTACTGAAATGAAGAATTATAAAAATTCCTTTAAAAGTTGACTTTCTAATTAATGAGGTGTTCATATTCACGTCAAAGCTCAAGAACACACTGGGATGTTATATAATCCCTGCAACTGTAAATGAAGCTTGGCTGTGATTTCCCCCCCCCCAAAAAAAAACACACACACACATACTGAAATGACTGAGTATAATAAATGTCATTTGCTTTTCATGTGTCGACAGGGATTTCATAAAAGTGATAACATTGCAGAAATCATTACATTATCCATGATTACAATAGGTGGTGTCCAATGTATAAGGAATGGGATATTTGGTGACATTACCATGTCAGGTTCTGCAAACACAAAAATTGATACAGACTAAATCTTTTGAATATGTTTGCAAGATTTCTACTTCACAATACTATCATACCCAGGGAAGTGAGCATTGACAGAAACATCTGTCATGCTTGATAGGATGACAGCATTAACAGATTGTAACACACCCACCCTAAATGATAGGATAACTGCACTGGCAAAAGTATCTGACTTACCTCATAGGGATAAAAGATTTAATCTTAATTGCCTCTATGTTGCACTACTATGATTGGGCATGCTTAAGTCTGGCAGATCCAGCATGCCTAGGGTCACATTGCCCTCAAGATGAACACTGTTACCACATAGTTGAAATGCAGCTGCCAGTAACATAGTTGCAAGAGATGTAAATTCCCTATCCCCAGACAATAACAATAAACATAATGATGCACATGGCATACCTGGATGGTAGCATTAGCAGAAGTACTTATCATACCTGGTAGGATGATAGGTCTGATGGTGTTGTGAGCACATCAAGCCTAATAGGACAATATCAGTGACTGAATGCCTCACACCCACTTTACTTCGTAGAATAGCAGTGCTTGATATAATATAATGGTGATAAGTACATAATGATGGCATGTTGCTATGACCAATTATGCCTTAATCAATTCACTGGCCTGTTAGAATTGACTAAAGACTAAACATGTTAAATTCTATTACTGTCACAGGGATCCTTGCTGTTACTTAATTTCAATAGAATACTGCCTATTATGCCATCTGTTGTTGGTAATTTGTATTGAGAAAATAAAGTTTGCTTGGAGCTGGAAATCTGATGCCTTTCAAGTATTTGGATCAGTCTAAAACAAAAAGGGAAGAACATAAAATTTGCACCCAATTTAAAACAAAATGATGAATATATTTGGATTTGAAGAAGTGGAACTGCATGAGGAATTGATAACTTTAAATTGGATGTGAAGTTATGGGTTGATTTAATTGTCTTAGGATAGAGCCCAGCAATAGGCTTTTATGAGCACAGTATTTTATGTTTGTTTTCCACATATATTTTTGACTGGTTTCTTTAAGTTAAAGCTTTTTAAGGAAGACTTATAATGTGATTGTGAGTATTGTATTGTATTGTATTGTATTGTATTTATATTTGTTCAAGAAATCCAAAAAAGGATATAGAACATGTCACAGTGTGTTTTGCTTCGCCTAGGGCCTGGTTCTACTGCAAAGCTTGCCATGAGGACATCAAGGATGAAACCCTCATTAAGAAGTGCAAGTGCAAAAACTGTGAGTAACAGTCTTGTCTTTGATCATTGCTTCATTACTGAAATTCAGAATGGTGTCTTTATGTATATCTGTTAATGTTACGTGGAAAATCTCCTCTATGTCTAAATCCCTTTCACTTTTCTCTTGCTCTCCAGCTCAGAGTTTATGTTATCTCTTCTCTCTCTCTCTCTCTCTGGGCTTGCAGTATCAAAGGTGCATATTTTAACCTATGTATTTGAAATGGTGACTTCATGATTGGTCACTTGTATTGTTTTCTTTGATTGATTGCTCTGTTGCATCATTGGTCGGCTGTTATTGGTTGGTCCGTTGGTTGAGAAGTGGTTTGCATACATACCTATCTCTACTCTTACCACTCTCTTTATCCCCGAGTCATGTTGTTGTCTTTAGCCAGTCACATCTTGGGTACCTAAACCCTTGCCCCATCTCTTGATCAGTGATTGCTCTTGTAAGGCAAGCATACATATGTTTGTTTGTGGCATGGTTTTAGTAGTTCAGGATTTGAGAACATCTCCTTGTCCAGTAGAAGATAGATTATACAAGGAGGGAGAGACAAATGGAATAATTTCCTGAATAGGCTTTGTGTAATAGGGTTTCTGACTAGCATTAAATAAGGAAACAATTTTATTTCCCTTCAAGCAAAGTAGTTAATTGAAGAGAAAGCGAAATGTTAAAAAAGGAATGGATATAGGTGTGTTCTACATGCACAATAGATCATTGAAGATCGTGGTGCAAGGGCTGGTGTAGGCCTACCCCTTATGCATTCTACATAAAAATCTCTATTTAATAAATATCACATACTTAGATTACATATGAAAAAGCGAAATTATGTCTAAAGTTAATAAATTATTGCTGTACAGGCTGTGTTTCAGCACCAAAATATGAGCACAAATATTTCACTCAGGACTAAGCTTGTAAGTGATGATTTCCATTTTTCTATAAGGTCTGGAGATTAGGATTGTGTGCCCAGTGTTTTGTGTGGTATGTAATTTATCCACTGCTATAAAGAGAAGACCCAGAGACTTTGATGTTAAAAGATGACCATGAAGTGGGAAATTTGATCTAAATCGTGGACTTTTTAATATATTGTAACATGTTGCGGTGAGTCACGCGGTGACGTAACGCGCAACGCTAACGTAACCGTAATCAACGTCCTACTGTGACGTGGCACTCATTACGCCACAGGCAAGCACTGCAGCTATATAAGTGGATGCACAGTGCGTATCGATGAGTTCGAGTTCTGATGTGGGTACCAAGAGTTCTATTGTGGCTACCAGAGAGTTCTACTGTAGCAGTCGGCGAGTTATAACGTGGCCATCGCCGAAGATAGCTCCGAGCAAGCTTACGAGAGCGTGTTATCAACAGTTCTCCAGTCAGCCGACTACAGTTGGAGTATAGCAGCCGTCGCGGAAAGAAGATCCGGACGTGAGTGTGACTGTGTAATTGGGAGCGTGTGATACAGTGATACATAGCTCCCCTACTGTCAACGTGTAGACTACTGAAGACAGAGTGAACTGATTTGCGCATAGGGTTATAAGTCGTGAAACCCCGCAACAGTGTCGACAGATTAATGCGATTAGGGTTATAAAGTGTGAAACCCCGCAACTGTGC